CTTTCCTTGGAGTCTTTTTATTAATTCAAACGGAAAGGAAATGATACTATCAGATTACATATTTTTGTAGCTGTATGGGCTGCAGCTCAGTGTTGAAAAAAGTTGCAGTTGCATTTATCGTGCAAAAATTTTTTGTCAGATAAAACAATGTATAGCTTAATTACTTGACTAATGTCTTATTTTATTCATGAATCAGAAATCCAAAATTCACAATTTCGAATATCATTGCTTTCATTGCTCATTGCTCATTGTTCTCCGGCACGAATAGCACGCAAAAGTTCCATAAAAGAGAAATAGATCCCAGAGATGCACACTGAACATCCCAGTCCAATAATCATCTGATCAAATTTACGGTCACGGTCCACCATGCGGTCGCCTTTGATGCGTAGGTGAAATAGGGCAGGCCAGATAAAGGAGAGCATGGTGCCTGGAGACAAATTTGAAAAATGACTCACAAAAAATATAGTTGAAAGTATTTAAAAATAGTCGGACATACGCAGGAATGATTTTAGTACATAACGCTGGATTTTTCTAAGGATGTACTAACACTCAATAAATTCATTTTGAAATGGTGCAAATGCACATTACTAATTATAGAAACGTAGCCCTCTGACTGGTTGCAAACTTTGTTATTAGCAGTTTGTTTTTTGTGACTGATCAGCATTGATTTTTCTGGATTTGTCGATGTGCAAGTACACCGTGAACAAAGCAGATTTTGTTCAACTGTACCTGTAATGTTGCCAATCAAGCCCATAAGCTCGATAAGGTACGGTACTGATAGAGCTATGAAGAGCGTAAATAATAGAAGAAGAATCCTTAGAAACAAGGCCCATTCCCGTAATGATCCATCGGGACTGTAGCAGCTGAAAAAGCTTTATGTTGTTATGGTATGCTATATAAAAAACTACGAAATGGTTCTTACCCTGTAAATGCTGTTCTTTTCGTTCCTCTGAAGAGATTATCCTTTAATAATTGAACAGCTGCATAGAAAGGTAGTGGATATGATAGGAGGGCTTTGATGACAAGTACTAAGTTGACAACCACTTTAAAGCCTTGATTTGGTAAGGAGTTGGAGATCTCTGGCTAAAATAGGATGCACAAGATGCTATTAACATATGGGTAAGAGCACCAACTTGTGTTAGTTCCCCGAATGTGAGAAATCCACAAAGTCCAAAAATTGCCTTGAACAATGCAGCTGCCACATGTGACCATTTCAGCATCCATTTGAACTCTTTGGGATCCTAAAGTAATGCTGTAACCTGGGAACCTTTCTTCGAAAATAATTCTACTTTCATATTTCCTTCCAGACTCGGCAAGAAGATATGAGACGTGTAGCCGAAAACCACAACACCGATCATAGTCGGCAGAGTGTAGA